CGCATTTTAGAGACAAATAAAATGGATATGTTTCCACTGCTTCAGAATGAAGGTGATGAAGATAAAGAACAAGAAATCACGCATATAGTTACAGAACACTTATCACTATTAGAGGAGACAATTGCCAGGTATTTTCCATCTCTGAACGTAGAAAAATATGACTGGATAAGAAAGTCCTTTTAGCACAAGTAATACAGCCAATTTCCGTTTTCTCTGAACCAAGAAGAAGAATTTATTTCGTTGTCATCTGATCGTACTCTGAAAATTAAGTTTTCAGAAGTGAATGTTCAGGAATTTTGGATCTTGGTCCAAGAGGAATATCCACTTCTTGCCAAAAAAGCGATTAGTATTTTAATACAGTTTTCAACGTCCTATTTATGTGAATTTGGGTTCTCATCTTTAACAAACATTAAAAATAAGAAACGGGAAAGGCTGCTAAACTTAGAACAAGAAATGAGAGTAGCTCTTTCCCACATCAGGCCTGATATTGAGCAAATTTGCAAACGACACCAGGCACAAGTGTCTCACTAATTTGAAGTATTTACTCATATGATGTATTTTGAGAATTACGCTTTTGTTAATTTTAAAAATGTTTTTTGTTTTCATATTTTAAGTAAAATTTTACAAATTTGAGTACGTATAATAAAGTTTATTACAGAATTTATGTGCTAATCCTAATTTGTTTATCAATATATGCATGTTATTGCTTTGGTGTTCCGCAATTTTTTTCGGTAATTAAAAGTGTTCCGTCGCCACAAAAAGGTTGAGAACCACTGGGTTAGAAGATGGAGAGAAGTTGTCCGGAATCGACAGGATTGGCGACTTCTTGGTGAGCAGGTCAAGATCCACAACGGACTAAGAAAAGATGTCAGGAATTACTGTTGTCAGATCTAAAAGGGTACAGTGTAGCCTAAGACGTACATTCTAGAAGTCATCACCCATTCCGCGGCAAACGCTCACAGGCAGATCCCGAAACTTCTACGTGACTTATGAACTGTCAACCCTATATAGACGACCTTTTTCTAGATATTTTTGTACAAACCTATAATTATATAGCCTATAATTGGTTGTTGCAATTATTCTGTATTTTCAAATTAAGGAACAATTGTAGATTTAAATAAAAGTTGAAAATAAAAAGAGTGTATATAAATAGAAAGTCTGTATATTAAAATTAACGTTATCATATTTTTGTTCTCAAGATTTCCCCTCTCCGATACTCTGATAAGGCATAAGAAGTGCAACAAGATTTCCCCTCTAATAACATTATTGGTCAAAACCAAACTTAAAAAACGAATTTCCAGTGAAAAATCCCAATTCAACCAAAAGTGGCTCACATTTGAATTTCACCGACAGCACAAACAATAAATTTCTGGGAATCATTTTATAAAGTTTTCACCTTACATATCTTAATAGATAAATGCAAACTAAAAATTCCTGATGTTGAATTTATAACAGAAGATTTCAAATTTGATTAAAAGGAATCACTAAAACTAATATTTCTGAATCCCTGTGTCGGGTAATTATGTCTCACGGGAGTTTCCCTGCTCCTTATAGCTTTGTAGCATTTGTACAATAAAAATACAAATATTAAAAATATAAAATACACATTAATGTTATATCCAAATAGCCACATGATGAACGCTCCAAAAAATAGATATCCTAAAAACGTATAGTTTGCTAAAAACCGTAAGCTGAGTCGCGGGGGAAGATTGCTGCTAATTCTGGGAGATCCTGGAATGCTCTTGTCGTACCTGTAAATAAGTAAATAGGTAAAGATAATGAAGTTAAATTGATATAATATTGATATAATATAACATATACAACTGTATATAAACCGCAGTTATAAAACAACATGATTAAGGTGCATGGAAAAGAGGTCCAGGAAGATAGTGTTATGAACATGCCTTCGGCGTGGCCCATGTAACGGTTGGATCTCGAAAGGGCATCGAGAACCTTCCACAGATGTATCGTCAAACAACGAATTAGAGGTGGGACTGGTCAAGATGATTCTAGAATAATACTTTTGGTATATATATTTAACGATGTTATGAGTTGAGTTTAGTTGTTAAGATATTACCGAAGTCTAAACTTATAAATAAATATATTTATATAAATTCGAATCTCTCGTTTTATTTAATCTCGCTATAATAGGAAGAATACTAAACAAACTTGACCACTACAAATTTTTTTGGTGCAGCAATCAACAAAGTCAAAATAGCCATGATAGATTCTTTCTTGCTGATTACACAAAATAAATACATATATGTATATAATATATATATATATATATATATATAGTGAAGCCAACAGGAAGAAGAGAGAGCTTCTAGAGTCTATACAAATAAAAAAAAATAATAACGCAATAAATGATAAAAAAGATGTCAAAAATTTGAACAAAATATATTTTAACTTAATTTAAATATACATAAGTCAATCTCAGAACGCCTATGATGTTAAAATAACTGATTGTTTAAACGATAAGCTAACATCAATAAACAACACATTAGATTTAAAATACATTTTACTTTTAGTGACTTAGTGGGTATGTCCTATGTTTTAAAATTATTTTAATTGTGACGTCTAATTGTTAACACCAAATCTTTACATGCTTGGTAAGTCAAAAGTTTATTTTTTAAACCATATTATGTCTGTCATAGAATGTTTTTTTTAGTCAATATATATTCTTGAAAAAGGCATGGATTTCCTGCCGAAACGTCGGAAAAAATATATATAAAAATGTCTTAGTATCAAACTAAATTTTTTTATGAACCTAAGCCCAAGAGAATCCACTAAAAAATATATATATATATATATAATATATATATATATATATATATATATATATATATATATTTGGTTTTATACCGTCTTACGACGTTGTCCGACTCTCAAACGCCACTGTATTCTGTCTTGAGTTAGGTCTTCGTCCAGATTTCGAGCGCTATAACTCCCAGGTTCCAGCTTTGTGGTGGTCTTCCTCGTTTCCTCTTCTCTGGGGGTTGCCAAAATAAAAATACACATTGGAACAACTATACATATTGGGAATACAGCAGGTACGTGGATTTTTACAAAATTATTGTCAACAAAATGTACACATTACGTACTTAAAAGTCGTATATATAGAAGAAATCAATTCCATTAGAAAAACTGTTGGATAATACTAATTTCTTATCATGGTGGATAAAAAATAAGATTCTTCAGGTTTATATATTGTGTATAATGTGTTTATTGGTGTGTTACATGAGAACATAAAATGTAAGCGTTTCTGATCGCTTCTCAGCAATTGGAAAAGAAACGAGCGTGTTATAAGAGGAATATAGAACATTTTTAAGTAAATTTTTTCGACCCGAACCTGTACCTGTTGAAAAATTTATTATTTTTGTAACAGATGATGCTTCGCCTTATGTTCTTGCGTATTTCATAAATATTTTGCTCGTTCTGGCAAAATTTTGTGCTTATATAAGTTTCTGTTGCGTTTTTTAGTGATAACAATATGTAAAATACACCCAAATTGAATATTGCTTAGTTTCTGTTTAATCTTTACTTATTTCCTACCTGTAAATTGTAATTGGTGAACACAGAATTTCTCTAGATAATCTACCGACGAAAGCAGTGCTGTGATAAAGTTGATAAAATGTTGGTCCATACTGAAACATAAAAATACAGTTTTTAAAGGTAAATAAATGCATATGAGAAACAAGCATATGATAACAACGAAAAAAATGGCCAGTCATTGTGCCAATATGTGTAGCTCTACTGACCTACTGACTAAAGGTTAAAAGGTTATCAATTTAAACATAATATGCTCCTTTCAAAATTATTACACAATTACAAACAGATTCCCGAAGTATCTGGTTGTTACATTAGACAGAAAGTTGGCATTTAAAGATCATCTAACAGAACTTGCTAATTGAATTCAGAAAAAAATATCCTGCACAAGATATGTGTCCTTACGTGGAGATATTGAGTTGAGACCCTACGAATATATGCACTTGGTCTGGTCTTTTCAGTAGTTGAATATGCGGCTTCTGTTTGTCAAACACCACCAACGAAATTGAAGTACAACTAAACAACACAATGCAAATTATCGCCGGCAGCATAAGATCTTACCTCCACTTACTAGCTGTCATTAAAATAAAGAGGTAATGCAGGCTTTACGAGAGAGGTGTCCGCGTTACTTGGTGAATTTGGTCTCGGACTATCTATCAGAGAGGAAAATTTTGGTCGAAAAAGGAGTGATGGTTGATATGACGGGGTTGTGAGCCAACAATTTGAAGAGGGTGTGACCACTTTCGCATTTGCGGACTAGAAACTGTTCTAGAACTGGTCCTAGAACAACCTAAGACCGAGGCTATAGTTGTCAAGAGACAAAGGAAAAGGGGCGGTATATCATTCGAATGTGCAGGAAAAAGAGTAGTTTCAAAAAAATATGTGAGATGTTTAGGTGTGACTGAGTCAAAACGGAGGGTGGAGGGAGAACGTAAAGACGGCGACTCAAAGAGCTGCGGTGAGATCCACCGCGTTTGGGGGATCATACCCACCACCGGAGGGCCAAAACTAAGAGAAGGAGGGCCCATCATTAGGCGGAGGAAGGTGTACAGAAAGCAGCTTACCCGAGCAGATAGGAAGAGTCTGTTGAGGGTGGTATGTGCATACAGAACAGTCCCTGCCGATGCGCTGTGAAGGAAAGAGGAAGAATATAACAGGGAACAAATGAAGACATAATCACAAGGAGGACATGAGAAGGGTGGCGCAGTGGACGAAGTCGCTGACGTGAATAAGAAATCGGGCGAATGCTGTGCCGACGTTGCGTCGCAATCAGGGCGGTCCGGTCGGTAATTTATGGTCAAGGAGGGTGTTTTTTAGCGGCTGTGGTGTCCAAATGACTCCTGCATGCGGTCTCGGAATCCTGCATAACCGAGGCGGTTCTGTTCACCATCTAGGACCAAGGTATGTTTCTAACATTTTGACCACCTGCCTCATAAATAACTAAAAAAAGCTTACTGGCTAACTGTCTTAAGGCATGGTCCTCCACGCCACATGTAAAGAAAACGTGCTCTCAGGAATTCAAAATAACACTCCTCAACTGGTGTTGCATCAAGACCAAAGAGCGCTTGGACGGTAAATACGCTAGACACCCCCTACAACTATCCTAAACAACGTTCGATATTGTCACTCCCTGGTAGACGAAACAGTTGCAGAAATCATCTACACAAATGCCGAATCTACCATGTATAACAAAAAACCACCTGGCTTTGTACTCTCAAGAAAAACATGAACACGTCTCAATACAGTTCGAACAAACCATGGAAAATGTGCAGGCTACCTAAACAAGTAGGGTAAGCTACAATCTCCCATATGCGACGACAATGACGCTGCAAGACAAACAGTACAACGTTTAGTGTAGGAGTGCCAACTCAGAACCTACGAAGGCAACCACAAGAATTTTATGTTCGCTACGTTTTTATTTAAATAAGTTGGAATTCTGTTTGTGATAATATAACATACTTGTTTATACAACTTTGTGTTATCTTTTTTCTTTTATTATTTTTTGTTTTTTATGTATTGTAACTTTAAGATATGTTTTGGTTGCAGATTTTAGTGCTCTTGCATTAAGCTAAATATATCCTTATGTAAAATATACAACTCGATCAGCAACATGTTCTTCAAATGGCCACTGCCGAAATTTAGCATTGGTCTCCTGTAATGTCTGCCTCCAACACTGGCATTTCTGCGCGTCAAGCCAGTATGTTTGGATGTTCATAAAGTTTTCCTCATCACGAATTATAAATAGAAAGTCAACTGCCTAGACGGTACGTCCCTCCACACATATTCTAATTTTTTTATTAAGTATTTCTTATTACTTTATTTTTATATTTAATTCTTCAATTAACGTATGTATATGTCTTATATACGTAAACTAATACGGTCCTACTAATACGGCACCGCCCCTATGAAACTTAAGGGAAGCGAAGCTACTTCGGACTACACGCACCTCAGCTTTGTGTAGATCAGCGCGATAAACAGTCCAGTTTTTTGTGTAAACTCAACTACGCAACTTTAAGGAGATTCTGGATTCCCCCAGTGTACTGTGGAAGAAGCAGAAGTGTTAGTTCAATATCACAGGTACCGTAATTTGATTGCTTACAAACACAATATTGATATTAATTGATAAATTTTACATAAATTTTACATTTTCGTATAAAAATAATACCAGCACCTAAATAAACATTACGAACAAGTTGTTGTGGATTATTTGATATATTAGTAGTAATATATAGAACAAAATAAAAAATCTTCCCTATAAATATCGACCATTAGTGTAAAATTTAATATTTAACTATTCTACTTACGATTTCGTTAAGTTTTTGGGAAATCTGGTATAGAGTTCGAACCAAAAAGGCATTTTCATAACTTTGTATTGGTCTGAGATCTGGATCACCTTCATATTTAATATTTTTTACGCGAGCTCGTATTCTTTCTGGTGTTAAAAACAAGTAATCATTCGATGTATTCATGGTGACGGGAGTAACATTCAACGGTTCATATTCTCTTTCTGTAATCTGAAACGTAAATATGGTTAAAAATAATTTTTAATAAATTAATGTGAACTGATTTGTAAATGTTTGATGCAAAACAATTATTTATTCTGATATAATGTTGAATGCGTAAGGATTTAAAAGGTAATTGTAGTTAAAATTTTATATTTTGTATTGTCATCAGCAGATTTGTAAACATTTAATTATAAAATTAACAGTTTGCTTAACCATTGGATAGTGATACTAGAGTTGTTTTATAGGTTTAGTTGCTTGTGTATCATAGACCAGCTGGGGCTAAAACTAAAAATAGGAGCTTGCCTGTGTTCATATTCTCCAATTGCTAAAATCTAACAAAGATATATGAAGTTACTGAAACATTCTAGTACTTACAATAAATTGTTTCTTTCCAATCTATTTATCTTACCCAGTAAGTCAACATTAAACAGACTTCTGGCTTAAACTATTGGGGGCTCAGAAATTAATAAGTTAATATTTGAGTCACTAAAATCAACAACATCAAAAATGGAAGGAATAAAGCATATAGCAATGACGTATAACATATAGACCCGGTGAACGCTTTAAAAAGTGTCCACAACATGAATACCTTTGTTACTGTTTTGATACGAAGATGCACGAAGTTCATGATTTCTTACGAAGCATCACGAAGTTGATCTTGTGTTTGAAAACATCATGGACGTATGAAAACATTTTCTCCATTTTGTGTGTTTACATATTTTATGTGACAAGCAAATTTTGTATTAAATTGTTGAGAGTTATTTACTTACTATTTTAGTAAAATGCCATACAATTTTATCAAAATAATTATTTCTCTTATAGACGGGAACAAAAAGAAATCATAAATATTTAATTTTAATTAAAAAAATAATTATTGTCATTAATATTTAAATGAGCACGCCGCTGTTCTGGTAAACATACCTTCAACCTTGAGCGGAGATCTTTCGGACACTCGATTATATAGCGAGAATAGGGGACTGCTTAGTCTATTATACGTCATTGGCATATAGCTATAATATATGATGAAATGGTGATTATACCAAGTCTTCCTTACAATGAGAGAATAGTAGGTGTATAGAAACTTTTGGAGACATGGGAGATGACAGAGATTCATTTTTCTTTGTTCGAGTCGCATCTTCGATATGGTCTTTTTTTTTTGAGGTTCTAGAACAGCTGCCCAATCTGATGATTTAAATTACAAAAAAGAGCAATACGGTATCTTTTTGGTCTCAGTAAAATAACATATTGAAGAAGCTTCTTCAAAAATCACGGGATTTCAACTCTTCCCTCTATATACCTTCCCTACATGTTTTTCCATCCACCTTTGATGTGTATTTACTGATCCCGTCCACTAAGTTAGTAAAGAAATATATACTATATTCAGCAAAAAATTATAAAACCATCTCCCTTTGCAACTTAAATCTCCAACTTGTTTCGTTAAGTTGAGTAGAAGGACAAAAACCTATCTATATGAAAAACCATATTATTCAGTAGAAGAGTTTCTTAACGAATAGCTTTATGTACAAAGTACCTAAAGTATTTGTATATGCTGATCAACATCATTACAATACAAGAAATAAAAGTCATATCATTATACCATATTCCAGATTGTGTGTTACACAACTTAATACAATAGATTATGATCTGTATAATTGTTTTTTAAACTTAAACAAAAATATTGATATTAAGTCAATGAATTCTAAACAATTTTATAAACTAGCAAAACACTTCCTGCTGGAACACTGTTTCTATAGTATACAGGAATTTGTTTGTTTGAGCTCCTAGTGTGGTCGTTTTTAATGAAAACTATATTACGCCTTACTGAAATGTTTCTTTCTTATTTGTTATAATTTTATATATCTAATTTTCACTGTATATGTTTTATTATATGTTCTTGTATTATTTCTTAGTTCTTAGTATACAAAAGTAAATTATTTTTATTGTGACATGACATGTAGTGTTTACTATGTAAAAATTGTCAATAAACCTATCTATCTATCTATCTATACATATATTTGAGCATCACAGGCAGTAACTTATTTACTTATTTATTTAAATTTTGCAATATATTGTGTATTTCATTATCTTTTATTTTGTGATATTGTCGATTTACGTAATTTCAGTAAATTTTAAATTTTTGTTATTTTTCTGACTTTTGTAAGTTTTTTCCATAAAATTGAACAATTTTCAGTGGTAATAAAGCATATTTCTATTCTATTCTAAATTTATACACAAAATTGTTTTACAGGTATTAAATAAATAAATTTATTACATTTTGTCTTATTTTTCCTAAATGGTATTGTGTATATTTGAATTTAAAAAATTATATTTAAATATTTTAAGCTTTATTTAAAATTTCCCACTAAAATTAAATTTTGAAATTCCCGCGTAATTTCCCGCTTGAATTAGTTCCTACGCAAATCTCTTGGAGCGCTGAATTTCATATCCATCTAAAGTATTATCGTGAAGCATCTAGAGGTAGGTGATTTGTGCCTATAACTCCCAATCATACTTACCTCATGACTAATATTAAACATGTCCATTATATTCTGAAGGGCAACTTGTAGATGTAGAGGAACTTTTTGACGTTCCCTTAGAGTAAATTCATCGTTTGGATCCGTTCCAATGAAAAAGTACTTAATGTTACCCAGAATCCAGAAAACATCTCTTGTTCTTCTTTTTCTTTGGCTCTGACAATGTCTTCTGCGTCCCTTACTGATTTTTTTATTTGGAAAATTAAATCGAATACCTTAAAATATAAAGCCGGGTTAATACAAAGTAGAATATTATATAAAGAATGTGAAAATAATAGTTATCATAATGCGAACAAGGGAATAATAGACGAAGTATATTTGAAACTACACCCTTTGGATTATGAAACTAGAACAGTTACATGATATAATAGCATATTACAGTATTTTTATTCCTGTAAAATAAATAATAATGGTAAACGCTTTATACTTACTTCTGGTGCCGGTGGACAAGAAAACAATGGTTTATAACAAAAATTCGGACCTTCTAGTTCAAAAATTTTCTGTCTGACCATTGCTGACCACTTTTTCTCTGAACCACCCCTACTAATTAAAAATGTATTACTGGGAGAGGACTTCTGACTCTGAAAACTTTCCGAAAAGGTTAAATTCTGTACAGTGGTGTTCGTCGACCAGTTTGTCGTAGGTGACAATGGAGGTAAGTTGTTGACCCAATGTTTGTTGTAGGAATGTGTGGGGGAGTTGTTGTTATCAACGCACTGCTCAATATCACGTAAGAATTTAGGTAAGTTGGGTTGGTCAAAAACCTGAAAAGATATTTATCTCGTATTATAACTCGATAACGAGCAAAGTTGGAAAATAAGAATGAAATTAAAAATTATGTTATATGGGATTAAGTCGCAATTGATTGTAAACAAAATTACAGTTTTCACTGCTGTTCGGAAATCGTTTTCAAAAAAGATTATTTAAAAAATAGTGATGTTTGTTTTTATAACCGAAAGTTATTTACGATTAACTTATATGAATGACCTTGGAACATTTCCCCATGACTTTGACCCCAGTCAGTTAATAAAGAGAAATGAAAGCCTATCTCTCTCACGAAGACTGTAACCAATCATTTATTTTAACACAATCTCGTGTTGTCAGCTCCGGGTACCAAGCGAGACCAAGGTTTCATTAGCCCTATCCTGGTATGAGGCGCTCTCTTGGATGTGACCATGCGTTCCCTACCTTCTAGTAAGGTAAGGAATGGACCAGGAAGAAACATACAAAAAGAGAGGACTAACAACTCACATATTAAAAACTTTGATTTGCTTTTAAAATATTATATAAAGCGACATAATGGGTATTTCTTTTTGGATAAATCTATAATCATTGACATTATGTCGTTGTATTTGAAATTTACATAACATTTTAAATGTATATCAACGGTTTTTATCTGTGGTTTCATTAGTCCTAGTTACGAATTTTAAAATTATTTTCTAAACTACATTAATACCATAATTTCTTCTTTACCTTTGCAATTCTATATAGCATCAACGACATCTTGGGGCTGATTAAGTCAACTCTGCCAAACCTTGGTAGCAGTTGTTGAAAAATAACTGTGTAAGAGAGTAAATTTTCAGCAATAAAGGGTATAAATTCTACATCTACCTCAGTTTGTGGAGCTGTCGCCAGATCATCAATGTATGGATTCATTTCTTTTTTATTTCTAAAAGTAATAAAAATAGTTAAATTGATACTTGACGAAAATTCATTCTCTAAAACACTGAAAACTACTGTGTTTGTTTAATTTCTACAAATTTTCTTTACTAATTTACAAAATGCTTCACAAAAATGGAAACGCATTTTACCCAGTGAAAGTGAATACATACTTATACATGTCTAAAATGAGAGCGGTGAGGTAAGTACTTAGCCTCAAGTCCGATAACACTACTATTGTACTACTCAAATGTCACATCATACTTCAAATATATAAATGACATGTCATGCGTCACATGTAAAGTTCTGTCTTTCCAGCGACACCTCACACGTCTCTGTACGTTAAGCCGTTTAGGTACTACAAGCTTAATGTCCTTTTGACAATGCCGCCATGATTTATTTTATTGTCTTTGTATTCTATACGTTATATCCTTTCTAACGACACCTCACACGTCATCCTAGGTTAAGCCGTTTGACGATTACGACCGGAGGTAGGGTTTAAGATGTAGGGGTTTGAAAAATATTTATTAAAAACAAATTTACCTTGACTAGAGAAATATATATAATAATCTGTACTCGGAGCACATTTTTGAAGAGGCTCTAAAAGATATTGATGAAGGCATCTCAATAAATGGAGTCAAGCTCAATAAACCGCGGTATGCAGATGATACAATAGTGTTTTCCAATACCATAAAAGGGCTGCAAAACTTAATGAACAAAATAACGGAAACAAGTAGAACACATTGACATGATATAAACACCAGCAAAACCAAGCTAATGATCATCAGCAAAGAAAACATAACTGGAGCAAATCTGTATGTGAACCAAATGAGAATTGAACGTGTCTCACAGTACAACGACTTGGAAACAACAATTAATGAGTCGTGGGACAATACCCACGAGATTAAATGTCAACAATTGAAAATTATTAAATAAATGTGTTGCACATGTAGAATCAGTAGTTTTTAGTATTTATTATTTATAAACATCAAAATTTGTATAGAATTTGGAGTATAATACCTACATATGCTTAATAAGGTTGCTAGGTGGATATCTCCACGGTTGTATAAAAGTCAACCAAAGCTCCAAAACCAGTCTGAAGGAGCCATCCAACGGCCATCGATGTATTAGGTTTCTTAAAAAGATATAAAATTTTCCTTGTATCATCGGTATAGACAATTTCTTCAATTCTCCTAAATGCGTATCATCAGCTCTTGCGCTTTGGTGAAACGAGTGCAGCTGTTTTATTAAAACCCTCACTATCCGCATGTACTCTCCAGTTGGAAGTTCATTATGTTGTAAAAATCTCTAAAACAAGTATTTTCTTTTTAAATATGTATATATGGTGAAGAAAAAAGTATGATAACGCATAAAGGTGATACAATGGAATGTCACAAATCAAAACAACCAAAATCTGAGGCTAACATATCTATATGTTGAAATGATATACAAACATATATTACTCTCAAATATGTTATTACCAATTTTAGGTGAGTAATTCCTAAGAGGAATCGCTACAGTACTAAAAAAGACCATCAGAAAAGTGTTCCCAGACGAATGGAAGCGAGGGAGATTAGTTTTTACACAAAAACCAGGCCAAGATGATGAAGACCCAAGTTCCTACCTACCATTATGTCTACTAGATGTTATAGGCAACCTTCTGCAGCACCTTATCACTAGAAGGCTAACAGAGGAAATAAAGAAAAAGGGACAGCTTTCCGATAGGCAGTATGGATTTAGGAGCAAACAATCAACAATCGATGCCATTAGTAGAGTCATACAGATCGCCTAAACAGAGTTCAGAAAAAACTGAAAATGTTTGGAACACAACTTAGTGGAGGCTAATAATGAGAGAACTTGGAAGCAGAGGAATCAATCCTGTAAACTATGTGCTAAGCCGAGTCGAATTTTTTATCAGTATGTTACCATATGTTCATAAGAGAACAATAAAGGACGTGTGAAAAGATTTCATCTAGCAAGTCATTTTTCCACTCTAACGATCAATATTTACCACTATGATAAACCGGCGACCAATCAATTTTATTCAACAATTTAAACAAGGACCATTATTGTGGAACATCCTATACGATGGAATCCTCAGAATAAAAGTGCCAGACGACGCGAAACTAATTGCATACGCAGACTATCTGGAATTGATATTAAAAGAGCAGAACAGAAGACGGTCTGATGGGGATAGAAAACACATATTGGAAACAATCAGCAAATAGATAACAACACTAAACAAAACAAAAAATAGAAGCCGTGCTACTAATTGGAAAAAAGAGGTTAAATAGACCAACAAATTTCACACCGGACGACGTAGTGATCAACCCTCAAGATCACTATTTGATTCTAATATCCGAGCTACATGCCCTGTCCATTGTAGATATATTTGTTTGATTGTAATATCTTTTCTACCGAGATGTGCTTTTATATATTCTGTAATTCAAACTTATATTATTAACTAATTAAATGCTGCTTTAATGACGGCTAACAGATGGTAAAATTGATATTTAATTTTTGAACTCCTTCCAGAAATTGGCCCAAACTAAAAGTCTGGTAGACAGTCTGGCCTAAAACCAACCTGATATTTTCCTAGATAGGCTTTAGTGTAAAACTTCAATATATGGTATAAATGCTTGACAAACTCCTGTAGAAAGTGCTGTAAAGGGTTATTTCTTGGTAGTTATTGCATTCCACATGGTTTCCGTTTTAATTTCTCTCTTTAACTTTCATTTTTTTCTATTAATTGGTGATTGAGATCCTCAGTTTACTCAAGAGAAAAATGACAACGGACCATTTTTGTTTAAAATGATCCAAAAAATCGAAAAAATATTTTCTGGATAAAAAAATACGATTTTTGGAATTTGTTTAAGAAAATTGTTTAAACAATTTCTGTCCAAAAATTTCGCCCGATACCATTCAGATTTGTTTAAAGGGGACATTTTTGAACAGGAATCCGCAAAGTAACCGAATCAGAAATATTTTTGCTATGGGAGCGGCCCCACCACCTGGACTATGTCGAATATAGGTTGTTGAAAATACTCGCACCCGACCAGCAGCGAATTCGGCGCTGCTAAACCTAACTCAAACTCTGAAGTGATACCACGTAATAAGTTTGATTGAATAACTTGTATATACGATTAATTTTGTTTTTAGCGAATATTGTAGCATTTTAAAACACCTTGTATATATTGAAATCACCTCGTATAGGTTAAAACACCGAAATGTTGTTTCAATCCTTTTTGCATCGCCGAGGTCGATAATAAACACATTTTAAAGTTTGTTTTTATATCATAGATGCATATTTCCTTGGTATTCTTTTGATCGAAGCCGCTTTGAAATATTTTGCGCGTCAAGTGGACAGATTATTCTCGTTTGTGTTTTGTTTATACCGAGTTGGGTGAAAGATTTTTTGAAGAGAATCGCATCACTCTCCGTAAGGCCGGCCGCTGTTAAAGGCGTTTAGTTTTATTGGAGTAATTTTTTCGTTTTTAGGCTTTTGTTATGTAAAATAAGTAGTTTTGTGGCAGTTAATTTTGCAGTTAAAAAGGTTTTGGAAAAGAGTTGTTGAAAGCAGACGACAGTGTGTTTAGTCGGAAAAAACCGACAAATTTGTTGAAAAAAAGTAATTTGTACTCAATGTAATGTGTCAGTTCTGATAAGACTAATCACTGTTTTTGCTTTATGCCGTCTTTCACCTAAGATATTTGTATCTAAGAGATTTGCGGCGTTTCCAATAAACTTGAAAGATACCCAAATGTGTTCCAATTTTTAAAGAAGCAGGGTTTCAAAGTTTGCGTCCAGTGCCGAACTTGCAGCTTCATTTTTCGCAGTTTGAAAAAAATGAATTTGTTCGTGTGGCAGAGAATCTAACTCCAGTTCCACCCCCAGAAATTCTAAAGAAAGAAATAACATCTAGTGAAATCCAGGTAACTTTTTTTGTTGAACTGTTAAAGTAAAAATAGACATTTTCTATTAATAATTGCTTTCATACAGGTTAAGAGATTGTAATAATTAAAATTGTAAATGTTAGGGTATGGCCTAGCTGTCATATTAATTGTTCTCGAGTTTTGAAATTTAGTGTTGACATCTGACAGCTAGTTTTATTTTTTTGATATTAGGTTGTTTTTGTTTTTTAAAGAAGGTTAACCTCTATGTATAGTTTTACTTAAAAATATATATTTTCATTTGTAATAATTTATTGCTGCTACAAAATATTGCCCAGTAACAATTGTCAGTTCTTGTAGTATCTCCAACTTCAAGAGTTTGTAAACTGATAGAACATAATAAATTTGTTTTTGATATTTTGTATTTTATTGTTATTATTTATATTTGTGACAGCTTGTGGCGAGATAACAATAAATATTTAATTTTTTTTCCTAAATCAATTTGTTATTTCTTTTTAAAAAGTTTCTAACTTCTTTTTGTATTTTTATGATTTTATGAAGAGCCTTTTCTTTCATCCAGCACTAAGATTCTTCTAAAGCTTCCTTATTTTAAATAGCTTGAGAACCTTCTTATGTTTTGTTTGTCCAGGAGACTCATGTAAGTATCCCTTTTGTTTCATTTTTGTAGTAACTCCAATCCAATCCCATTGTTTCATTCACTTAGCCATGACCCAGCTCTCAAATAAACCCTGAGTAGCCGTTCGCAAAAGTTTCGGTTTGTTTCGCTTGCTCTATCTCTTGCCCCGTAATTTATGTCCCCAATTTTCAACCCCTTATAGTAATACCCTATATGGTAGGCAAAATAAATGTTACAATATAATTAAATTTAATTTAGACTTCTTAAAAAAGAACCTTGCAGCGAACACCTACTGGGAACCCCTGTTCTATCTTATACTTTTGTAAATAAAGATATTACTAATTAGAGCAGAATAAGACTAACTTTAACACATTTTCTATACTTACCGATGCGTGTGGAATATTTAACGTATTTAATGTATTCAATGTATTCGTAGTCTCAGTGACTTGATTATTGTGCAACCACATATCTGTAAAAACAGTAAGTACAGTCTCGCTTCTCCAAATATCATTTCTTGGATGATGATAGTCTAAATTAGTCTGCATAGTTTCATCTTTTATTTGTTTTTTTGTTTGTATGAGTCCTGAACTTTGTGGCTTGTCCCTAAAAAAAATGGTGTTATTTTAATTTTAGTTATATTGTCGATCAATTATACTTACACTAAATATATCTTGGTTGTTTGAACAGGATTCTTGCCGTTGTAATAAATTACAGGTAAAACCGACGTTCCGGGATCGGTGGGTAGGAAATGTAGAATATAATCACAGCATAGTACATAATAAACTGTATTCCAACAGGAAGATCCAGCCCTCTGTTGCCAAGGATTTATCAGGTGATAGGCAAAATGAAATATATAATAATCAAAAGCATCTGAAAAAAGTTTTTATATACTAACTTTCTATTTTTTAAACACTTAAATGGACACAATCAGAAATAATAGGGTTTCTAAAAACACCGATAAAAAGATTGCGTCCGATAAGGATGATCGCGACAGCGAGAGCGAAAAAACCAAGTTTACTTGTTGCAAAACTAAGAAAATAAGCACAATAATATGTGTAAAGTGTGGAAAAGCGTTCCATAAATCATGAACGGCACGGGATTGTGCCGGAAAACTTCAAATTTTAGATGAAACGCATGTGATTTGTTGACAACAAATTGTTGTGATTCTAACATAACCTTAAATAGTGGAGATGGCATGGAAAATACGATCATTCATCTGCTAAATGAACTAATTTGTGAGTTAAGAACTAAAAATTAAATTCTAGAGGAAAATGATAAGCTGCTATGGGAAAAAATAGAAAGCATAGAGAAAAAGTTACCAAAAAATCCATGGAGGTAAAAAATGCTGCAAAAACTAAGAATAACAATAACAATCCATCCATTTGAAAAGAACAGAAAGTGAAAGAGACTACAAGGTCAGTTGACGCAGTCACAGAACAGCCGCTTTATTCTGTCGATTTGTCTGAGCTGCCACCTAAACCAAGAATATCAAGCCGTTCAATTGCACCCGTGACGCCTGTTAACACGTTCCCTGCCGTAGAGGATTTTGTAATACTTTCCGTTCACGCCATAGTCACCGAGAGACCGCCATAGGTACCACAGTTACATTAAAATTCTCGGTCAAATAGACCTCGCTGACGTGCAGAGCAATTTTTTCTCTTTTCAACCGTCAGCTGATTGTAGATGAAAATGATAAATGGGAAACCCAAAAAAAAGGTATTTACAAAACAATTCGTCAACACTTATTGAACGACCAGATCCACTCCAGGGAACCCATGAGAATGCTGGAGGTATCCTGCGTGTGGCCACAAAACATATGACGATTTTACCGTCAGGTTTCGATCCAAAAACGGAAGCTCAGGAAATACTTAACTATCTAAAAGAAAGAAAACTCGATGAAAACGATATATGTGAAAAATGAATCCCAGGACAGATAAGTACAAAAGTTCATTTAAAATTACTGTTCTAGAACTAAAAATATCCCATTTAATTCTGCAAGAATTATGGCCGAACATGTAATTTTTAACCATTGTCAGAATGTACAGAGGTACCTCAGTGTCAAAACCTCGGCACACACCAAGTGTTGTTTCTAAGAGAATGGTTCATTCTATATAAAAAATGATAATAAACATTTTTGTTTAAAATTATCTCAGCTACATTTTTTATTTGAAACATTTTTTTCTACCGTTACGGTGTACAGATTCTTGGTAAATCAATTTTTTCGCGTTTTTACTGAATGTTATGATCAGCATCATTGATCATCATTCAGTAGCACAGATGAAATCAGAAATTCATGGCATATAAATTAAACACAAAATGTATATTTCACAAATAAAGATAAAACAGAGGAAAATGTATTGGGTCTTTTTTAGTATGATCAGAGGTATCAGTAGTAGCAGAGTAAGGGAATATTTTTTAGATGCCAACTGATATGACTATACTTACTTAACATAAGAGACACAATCTGCTTAGTTTGAACATTTACATGTAATAAATCTGAATAAAATGGATGCCCTTGTGAATTTTCTAAAAACTGTCGTATTTTCAACTGAAAAAGATAAAAACATTTTATAAAAATAATAAAGTCAATTCAAAATAATAAAGTACAAAAAGTGTCAATACCGCAACTGTCAAATAAGTGTTACCAATTTATGCCAAAATTTCACCTTCGTTCAATTACAGTTACAGTGTGTTCCAAAAAAATGTTCTTCATAAAAATGCTTTATAATGCATTTATACAAATTAAATTAAACATATTATTGTGTATTTCTTTTAATTTCTATTAAATGAAACATAGTTAACATTAATAGAAATCTTTAAATATTATTTCTACGCTTATATAATAAAATAAGTCTAGTGGCTGTAATGCCAGTGTAGTCGGCAAAGTGATTCTAACAAAGAACACACCTACCGCCTAAATATTTCGTGTTGGTATTATGTGACCTCACGGACTATGACGCGGATGACGTGCAATGGTAAGTAAATTAGATGAAGTATAGATGTTTATAATTTTTTGGCTTTGAAAGATCCTGTATAAAGATTATTGTAATCTTCTGCCATAAAAACTGTGCTCATGCATTTCAAAATCAATAGTTTTCAACCTTAGACCATAAAAACTGATAGACGCGCCGTAATGCTATTCTCTCGTCTCGAGGAGTGAAGCCAACATAAAACAATTCACACAGCTGTGGGTGACGTCAGTTTGCGGCAGAAGCGGTAGAGATTAGAAGTGTTTATATGCGTTGTAAACTTTTTAAAGTGTTTCAATTTAAAAAGTTTCCAAAACATTAATATTTTAATTATGGTGGCATCTTGCAGTGCATTTAATTGTACACAGAGACAAAAAAGGGACAGATATATCATTTCATGGGTAAGTAAATTCACAAATTAAACTTGAAAAACATACCAGAAATTTAGCACCTATTATTTTACTTTTTCCTCTCAAAGTGTTTTAAATAGATACATGTGAGATAGAGAGTTTTATATATAATTTTCATTTTATAATTAGATTAAAAACTAAAGGATTAAGTAAATAAATTGTTTTAGATTTCCTAAAGATTCATCATTGCAAAAAAAATGGATTATAGCGATGCGCCAATTGCAATATTAAAAGATAAAGGAGTTGATGGTCAATACATACGATTCAGAGAAAAGTTATACTGGCGTCAAACAGCGACAGCTTGCATAAACGCAAAATCAACAGAAATATGTAAAATACAAAGTGCTGCATAATTTGGAATGGGGCGTGAAAGTTAATGGAATTCTGATAAATACAATCAGATATGCAGATGATACAGTTATTTTAAGTGATGACATGAATGGACTACAATGCCTTTTAAATGCCATTGATACAGTGGGAAGAGAGTTTGGCATAAATATAAACTGTTCAAAAACAAAACACATGGTGTTTAGCCGTTTAGCACATCAAGATGCACGATTATATGTTGATGGTCATATAATTCAAAGAGTGTCCAGTTTTAATTATTTTGGTTGCCATATTACTGAACAACTAGATCCAGATCAAGAGATAAAATGTAGAATCGAGACAGCCCGCACGACATTTTTAAAAATGAGGTAAAAGCAAAATTAAATTTATCTACAATTCAAAAAAATTTTAAACTATTCCAAAATAATGACAAAATTGATCTTAAATGTCATGAGTAACGTGCATGGTTCTGTGTTTAACGCATACAAAGAACATATGTTTGATCACGAATTTAAAACAAACCATTTGTTTAATCTAATAAAGATAATTTGTTTCCATTATTGCAACATTAGATTGTACCACGAAGTTGAAAAACTAAATAATGTAATAAGACTTAGAAGTAAGTTAACAAAAGATATTTTGTTTTGTGGTCAATAAATAAATCGAGGGGTTCGAGCGAAAACCCGATAAATGACAAAATTATGAAATCCGCTTTTTTTATTTCTTCTGTATTAAAAACACGTCTTCTATCACTGAAAAATTTTTTAAATTGATATTAACATTTTTAAGCACAATAATTGATAAAAACCAAACATGTAAAAACCGTTAACTCATATTTTTAAATAACACCAATCCGATATATAACTTTACTGATAAAAATACTTTGAAGTAAACATATTTATAATATGAGAATCTGGTAGAATCATTTATCTTCTTTGACTGTGTAAAATTACTAATTTTATTAGAAAGATTTCTGAGTTAAAAACAGATAATTAATTTTATCGGAAATTGAAATTCATAATAAATGTCTGAAATATAAAATCAGTTCTAGGAAAAATAAGCTAGAACAACTTAACTGCTTTCTTTTTAAAAGAAATTCACAAGTTAAGATTTTAAAATTATATAAATACATTTATCGGATATGTAGATTACAAAGCTGTTAATTTTAACAAAATATATTCATGCGAAAATCCAATAAAGAATTTTATACTATGACGCTTTATTAAATTTCAGCACATTTTTGTCCTGCGAAAACCCAGTAAATCAATTTTAGGTTACACGAAGTACAACGATTTACCTTTTTGGGTCTGTAGTTCTGATTAGTTCACTCATGTCTGGACTTGATTACGGACGTTGCGTTCTCTAACAAGTATAGTTTGATGTTGAATTGTGATTGTGATTCGTGCTTGTTTTCGAAATAAACAGTTTGATTTTTTATAGATTAGTAAAATGAGTAATCGAAGTAAGATGTTAGTGGAAATGGTCACCAAAAAACCATTATTAAAGACTGGTAAGTAATATTTTTTGTTATGTGTATTTGGGTTTTAATTTGAGTATTATATAAATGCTAGAATATTCCACAGGGTGATGCGAAGTTTGAAAAAACATTACAGTTTAATTGGTATATATATATATATATATATATATATATATATATATATATATATATATATATATATATATATATATAAAACCCGGTATACAATGAAAATTTACCTGTTTAGCAACAATATTAATGCAGCGATATTGTTAAAGAATAAGGCTATAAAATCACTTAAATCAGGCAATCGGTTTAGAAAATTCGAGACATCAAAAGTGACCAATCTTTAAGGTGATCGGTTAATTTTGCATCTCAGTGTATTATAAAAACTACATACTTCTTTTTTTACCTAGTTTTTAATAAAATGTAATCATGTAATTATTGTAAAGTATAATCCTTTAAATGCTTCTTTTATTGTTTTAGCCTCCAATACCGAGGATGAGAACATATCTGAAACTTCTTCTATGTTAGACGAAAATCAATGCCGGATAGCAGAGTATATGGAAAATATAATAAAAGATGATGATTTTAACACAGGTGACTTCATTTTATAATAATATTTAATGTATTAGTATTCTATTTTGGTTTTTATTTCAGAAGCTGAGGAGTCCATCGACGAAATTAATGAATTTGACGATACTACTTCTTTATTTGGAGGTGATTATTCTGACGTGGATCCAAACTACTGCACAGCGTCATCTTTGGATTCTGAAGATATTGATGTATCTGAAAATGATCCCGTAAACCAAAAAAAAGTTCAATTTAAGAAAATTTTATACTCTGAGACGTCTACATCTTTGGTGACATTAATAATTGAAGGCATTTTAGAAACAGTACTGCGTAAGGTAACACAGCCGAAAAGGTGGCGTAAAAGTAATCCTGCTGAATGGAAACTGAATATTGCGAAAAAAAGACGGTCAGAAGGGAGCACATATATAACGAAAAACAAAATCAGAGCTCCCAAGGTACCCCAGCAAGTCAATTGTGATAAATGTAAATTTAAGTGTACTGAAAAGTTTTCTGAAGATTATAGAAACAAGCTCTGTAGAAATTACTGGAGTCTAGATTTTAAATCTAGAAAAAATTTTATTTTGCACAATATAACTGTAAAACAAATTAGGACTAGACTTGTCCTTAAAACTTCCAAAAGAAAGGAACGAAAATTTAGCAAGAAATGTTTCTTTCCACTAGCTAACAACGAACGGATTCCAGTGTGCCAAAAGTTTTTTACAAAAACGCTGTGTATATCCCCAGATGTTATAATAAATGCTGTAGCTAACAGTGATTCTACTGGCTGCTATTCTAAAGAAGACAATCGCGGAAAACAGGAACCAGTTAACAAAACAAAGGCTGAAGATGTTCAGTTTGTTAAAAGTCATATTGAATCCTTTCCGGTTATGGAATCTCATTATACTCGAAAGGATACCATTAGAAAATACTTAGATCCCACTCTAAATATCAAAAAAATGTACCAGCTTTACTTAGATAACTGCATCGAAAATAATCGAGACCCTGTTGCTTTACGTAAATATCGATCTATTTTTTGTGAAGAGTATAATCTAAGTTTTTTCACGCCCAAAAAGGACCAGTGTCTTATCTGTGCCAAATATGCTAAGGCTGATCTAGAGCAGAGAAAAAACCTTGAAATAATCTACGAAGAACATAGAAAAAGAAACGAAATTTGTCAGGCCGCTAAAAGAATAGATAAAGACAAAGCAAATAAAGACAAGACATTTATGTCTGTAACATTGGATTTACAAGCAATTTTACAAATACCCAAAGGATCTATTAGTCAATTATACTATCGTAGAAAATTGGTAGTATACAATCTTACTATTTGGGAATCACCGCTACCCAATAACGCATATTGCTTGTGCTGGAATGAAACCAATGGCAAAAAGGGTAGTTCTGAAATCGGAACTTGTATGTATTACTATTTAAGTGAATGCTTAAGACCTGAGGTTAAGCATGTAACAATTTTTTCAGATACTTGTGGCGGTCAAAACCGTAATCAATTTATAGCCGTACTGCTGTTGTGGATCGTACAAAATATCGACCAATTGGAAATTATAGAACAAAAGTTCTTAGAAGCAGGACATACTTATATGGAAGTGGATTCTATGCACTCGGCAATAGAATCTGCAAGTAAACATGTAAATGTAACTTGCATGAATGACTGGAAAAATATATTTCAAACAGCAAGAAAACAGAAAATGAAGACAGTAGACAATGTGAAACATAATATAGGCCCATACAAGGTAAAAGAAATAAAATATCACGAATTTTTAGATTTAAAGTCACTTGCAGCAAATATATTGCAAAACAGAACAGTAGATTCTAACGGTAATACTGTGCAGTGGTTAAAAATCAAGAGACTAAAATATATTAAAGGTGAAAGAAGAAAAATTTTTTTCAACTACGATCTCTCAGAAGAATTAAAGTGTTTAGACATATCAGAAGATATTTGTTTGAAGTCAAAAACACCTCCTACTCTACGGTCTAAAAGGCAAAAACAAATTTTATCCCAAAAAGCAACCCTAGACTTACCAACTCCGGGTAATTTACCAAAGTTATACAAAACTACTCTTCCAATAAGCGAAGCAAAAAAAAAGGATTTAATGAAGATGTGCCAAGAAAACATTATTCCGGAAGAGCTGCATGCTTGGATATCAAGTTTAAAAACAGGGAATAATGTCGTAGATCGAATTACAGAGATGATGGGAGAAGAATCGGAAGAAGAAGATATTACCTTTTAATTTCCTAAAAAGAATGTAGATTATTATTTGTTTTATTCGGATAAAATACAGTTCATTTTTATTTTATAATTGACAAAATTAAAAATAAAAACCAATAAAGTCAAATGTTGTACTCATTCAGCGAGGAAAAACCCGATAAATATCATGTTTTTTTTTTTTTTGTAAATACCACTTAATAAGTTAAACTAAAAATAAATTATTCTTACTAAACATTAAATTCTCTACTGTTTGGCTTTAACAAATATTTGAAATAACTTCCTATGACGAGTTTAAAGCCTCCTCAATGTTACGAAAATCTTTAAACGCGATTATCTCCGAACAATGATTTTGTTAGTTATCGGGTTTTCGCTCGAACCCCTCGAAATAGATTTACTACATATTTTTTTACCTAACCTGAAACTTCCACCCAAAAGAAAATTATTCTCCTTTAAATTTATTTTTGAATATCAAACAAGAAGTGATACACCAACGATATATATAATAATATATGTAGGTATGTACTTTCAAATAAAACATTTATTTTTACAACTTAAGGCAAAAATATTTATTAATTACTTTGCTAAATAAATTATCTTCCACATTTTTTTACAAAATATTGAAGTTATATTAAAATTAATCTAAAATTGGGTAATTATATTAGTGCTTTGCTAAGAATCCAAGCGGGCTCTTAGCCACATTGTGACGGCACTTTCGTGGAAGGTCTTTGCTTCAATGGTTTGGTACAAAGCGTGTCTATCAGTTTTTATGGTTTCAGGTTTTAACTTTTAAAATTCTTAGAGTTTTAGATTCACATTGAATCTATAATGAATATAGAACTAATCTTTTTACTTACTGGTAAATATGCTAATGAAAACTCATATCTAATATTAGGATCCCTGAGTAATGTGTATATTAGTTTAAAAACAGGTCCACATGGTGACAAAAAATGCTGTAACTGTCTAAAGTCTTCTGCTTCTGATTCTGTTGTGGACCTTAGTCCCCATGACAAAGTACCTTGAGGTCCAAATATATTTTCTATCAAGACTGGAAAGAAATTGTGCAGTTCTAGTAAGTTACCCCTATCTAAAAGAACGGTTAGTTCCGCACATCGGGCACGAACTGGAAGTCTCATAGCATGTTGCACTCCTGCCTAAAAATGGGAATAACAATGACTTCGAAGTACAAATTTATTCACAGTAATTACAAAAGGCATTAATTCTAACTACCAGGCATAACTTAAAACCAATTTGTGTTAGTTATTCTAATATCCCAATGGAAATATTTAATTTTTTTAAAAGCAAAACAGTATTAAGTAAAAAAAAATCATTTTATATACTATTACCATAAAATCTTGTTCTTTAATCATGTTTATTATTTGGTGGGCTTTTATTAACTGGAAATTTATATATTCAGAAAGTTCGTTAAATTTTTCTATAAACCTTAGTTTAAATTTATGTGAAATAATTTTTGAAAAACTTAACCTACAATTAACTGAAGTTAACGAATCTTCTTTTTTTATAAAAATTATAGTTTCGATTGTACTTTCGGTAAACTCAACCGAATAATATTAGCTCAATAAATAAACGTATGTTAATTCATAAAAAATAATAATAAAAAACATCGAACTTCTAAAAATTCTATGAATAATTTAAATATTCTAGATGTAATTTCTTGATAAATAATGGTTTTTGATTTATCGTAGTAGCTGATTAATACATTTTTATGGGCCAAACTGCTTGTCAAAACCAAAATATCTAAATCTAACCTCACTTATTTAAATTATATAGTTTTATCACTTTTATTTAGAAAGATTCAGTAAAATGAATAAAGTCAAATATTTATTACAAATAAGACAGTTAAATTCGTTATCAGCTTGTATTACAAAACCTCATAGAAATACGTATTTAAAAACTTATCCAACAGTCATTGCCAAACCTGATGGTTCTACTTATACAATTCGATATGAAGAACCTAGAAAGCTAATAAAAGTAAGTAGAAGCATTTGTAATATTCTGACAGTACTATTCTGTTACAGAACTGTAAAATATTTCCCCCCGATGTTATTATAAAAACACTTTGTTTTGTTTTGTGCAAAATATGCATGGAGTTATGAAAATATGACACTTTTCAATATTTAAACAATAATCTCGCTATTTTAAATGGATACTGTTTGGACAATGATACATATCATTTATAATCAACCAAACTTTGATTTAAAAAAAATCCATTCTAAAATGAATTTCATTATAATTTATTTGTAATTACACTACTTGTACTGAAATTTTATTTGATCAGGCTACCAGCAGAGTTTTTAGACAACATTATTTTCTTTCGATATTTTAACTTCATCTTTTTATTGGAGCTGCTTGATTTTTATTGCCCATATCTTTATTTATCTTGCATTTGATCTACTTCACTGAGTCTGTTAATTATTATTTTTGATCCTCAGTGAGTTTTAATATATACTTAGATGTTTATCACAATCTAGATCAACTTATGTTTTTCATCAACATTAATGATATTTGATCATTATGTAATTGACCTGATTAATTATTAATGTTTAATAGATCTTGTAGAACTATAATGAAATTAAATACACAGTATATTAAAGTGATTTTTAGTAGAAATAAGTAAGTGAACAATACTTTACTATAGTGTTTGTGAAATCTACACATTTTTTAAACTATACAAAAATTATTGGGCACAAAATTGCAGTTTAGTGAAGTATATAAGTAAATTATATAAATTAAGGGAGTTATATAAATTTATTACTCTACTGCATACCATCTACTTCATACTTGAGTGCTGTAAAATGTATTCTGTCTGCTCATGATTACTCCAGTTATAATCTCTAGGCCATAATCAAGCGAAACCCCTGTGCAACAACAAATGACAAGACAACTCTTTACTTGGAACTTAAAGACTATGTATGAAGCAGGCAAAATCTACAATGCCATTAAAGAAATGAACAGGTTCAGCTTAGGCATCATCAGCATTAGCGAAATACACTAGACAGATGCCAGTAAATGTATGATTAAAGAACATCAAGTATACTACTCCATGGTCATGGCCATGGGTCATGGGTGGCCGAATTGATCAGTACTTGAACCGGCAAGGGTAGATGAAGTTCTCATCATATCAATACCCTGCTAGAACTTGGTTCTCTCTAAAATAAAAACATTTATTGCCTAATAAAATATAGCACATCACTTCAGAAATTCAGAACTCTTTCAACTCTAAATATTGCTGCTGATTTATCTTAGAAGCCCCAGAAAAAGGATGCAGGTTTTTGAGGCTATTTAATAATTTCTTCTAATTTCCGTTTCCATCATTGGAGATTAGCAGTTATATAAACAAACATTTCACTGCCTTTAGCTGTGCAAATAAATTCTTCAGAACCTAGTCATGTCCAGTTTCTTATATTATGCAGCTAGAATAATGTAATGCCAGTCCTCTTTTTCAGTACTCAGTTTCTGAGGATAGTATACCTAAAGCTGAGTCGTTCTTCCTTCATGGTATTTCTAAGGGTATTTCTAATTCATTTTAGCATTGAAAAACAATGTTCTGCTTCAAATGTTGACATAGGAATGTAATTAATATACTTAAAAGTTAATAGTTTCTTCAAATGTACATTTTAAACCTTCATCAGTTAATAAAACTGATAGCAGAACAGCCCCAGAGGTAGTACATAATTCGTCTTGCTAATACAGTACTTGTAATTCAGTTTTAAGCCAAGTTTTGTTTAAAAATTGTTTGCATGTTTCATTGAGAAATGGTTCAGGGAACTGATGCTGATAAGCAGAAAACTTCTCTGACATAAATTAGAAGCAACTAAATATCCGGAGAAGGTAAACCTTGTTTTTATTTGTAACAAAACTGCATCGCAGTTTTCCGTTTTCTGCTGGGCCTGTCCTCTTCAATTCGCGGGTTTTTTGTTATTGGTTCATTATTATCATTATCCGTTTGTCTCTGTGTAGTGTTTACTTCTTCTTGAATGTTAATAATAGTGATGATGTCCATTTGCTCCCTTGAACCTGGAATTACTGCTTCAAAATTCTCCAGATCAATCATTTGCTTGATTAATGGATGACAAATCACGTAAAGTACTTTGTATAATGTCCATAACTGCAATGAGGTGTTTTCTATTTTCATGAACAGTATGAACACCCCGTGATTGAAAGTTCCTACCTGTTTGGGAAGATTTTGACAACTTGTGCTTAACCGTCTTATCTAAAATTTTTGTTTTTTGAGGAGACATAGAAAAGAATGAACACAAACCAGATAACCAGACTCTTTTCATAATTAAATTCATTAGGTGTGCATAGCAATGAACGTAATTTGCAAGAGGATATGTCTCATTAATAATTTTTTGCACATCATTTAATCCACCACTCATAACAGATGCTCTATCATAACTTTGAGCAATTAATTTATTCGGAATATGTTTTAATACATTTTTATATATTTTAATTAATTCGGAAATCTATAACTAATTGAAATTCACCAGCAACGTTTGTCGTTTCATCGGTAGTCACTGCAACATAAGGAGAATTTTCAATTTCTTTCTTAATTTCTTCGTAGTAAAGCAAGCAAAGGCGTAAATAAACTCGAAATAGATAAGATCTACTAAAACTTCCGTCTCGAGATCTCGTGCCTAGCTCAAGATTTCGAGCTAGACACGAGACGTATTACTAAACGTATTACTAAATATATAATTATACCTCTATCTCTGTCAGTCACATAAGATGCTCGTAAAGTATTTCTCTTTTCGTAGGAGCCACTATGATTTTGTCACCAGCAGATTATCCGGTCAGCAGTGGGTTGCTAGCATCGGTTATGAGAATTGTATTGCGCACACAGTTGCCAGATTTCATATAATTTATGCAGATGACAGGCCATTTGCGTTCCGACTTTTAGTCCGACTAGTGGTCCAATTTCAGCAGTTGGATCTGAAATCGGACCGTGAGTAGGCTAGTTGGATTAGTGGGACGACTTAAAGGTCCGACTTCCGACTGGCGACGAAGTCGGAGCGTGAATGGTGAAGTTGGAAGTCGGATTACAGGCACTTCTCTGTGTTCGTAGTTCTCTGTTACAGGTCGGATCGAAAATTTCCTCAGTCAGTTAACCTTCGGCACCTGTTACGTATGAGATTTCTATGAAATACTTTACGCAAATATTTAATAGAAAATAATCTTTCAATTGCACGAAAATTACTTTTTTCTTCAAACGTCAAATAATGATGACATTACTTATCTAACTTGATCCTGTCAAAGTTTGATGTCTCCGCCGGCAGCAGTTTTTTTCACCATTTCTTTACGGCGGAGGGAAAAATGTTGTCATGGCAACAATATGAAACATGCCACAAAGCAACAATACAAATGTCATTAACAACAATTAAACATCATTTTTATTTATAGTAATATTAAAAGTACAATTAGTTAATGAGGCATTTTCAAAATTGAAACCGTGTAAAAATGTTCGCGACTCTTGATATGTATTGGTAATTGTTGATGATACTGATGGTTGAAAACAACTTTCAGCAATCATTCCCGATGTTGGCGAATCATGAGGGTTTAAAATTTTTTGAGCATTATCGTTCTTATTTCTTATTGAATCCTCTATATATCCTTCGGCAACCGTGCTTGATTTCCAGCCCCATGTCGTTTATGGCATTCTAGATTTCCGCCTCCATCAATTAAAAGTGTTGCTGAAGTTCGTCGTAAAGAGTGACCCGTGTATGCGCTTGCATCGTTTAAATTTAAATAACTAGCTACTTTTTGGGCTACTGCGCTGATCGAATGTATTCCCATGACACTTCGGTAACACTTTCCATTTTGGTACTTGATAAAAAATCGGTTTTCTTTAAAATTTTCAGGCCGCAGTGATGCATACTTTTTATACAGTTTAATGTAGTTTTTACCAATTATCGTAAAAGATCTAATTTTTTACTGTATGGAATTTGATAATTATTACATTTTCTTTATCCTCAATGTCCACAGTCTTGATTTTTACCATTTCGTCGCATCGACAGGCGCCGGTAACCCCAATTAACAAAACAATCTGAAATATTTTTATAATTTAGTAGAGTATACTACATGCTTTGTAGTATATTCTGTAGTATGTAGTATATATATAGTAATTTTTTTTACCTTTAATCCTAAATACAACTTATCTGTCTTTAGTGAAAACTTTAGACTTCTTTGCAGTATATCCTTCGCTAAGTTCGCTTGTTTTTTTCAGAAAGGCACGTAACTTTAAAAATTTGCTTATATCCACATTTTTTAACTAACTCGGATTTTATTTAATTTATTTATTTTATTTTCATTTTCCATTATATTAAAATATGCCAGTAAAACGTCTTCGGTAACTTCCCGCACTCCTCTTGTATCGCACCACTCTCGGAAGTGCTTGTGCTTGTACGCTAACCGATACTTTATTCCGGACTTGGAGGGCCCCAAACGTGCTACTGCATCATTAGCCGCGGAATCAATTTCGTTTAAGTTTTCCATTTTCGTACTAAATTTGCGCTTGCGGTTGAAAACAACAATAAGCTGTCTTTAATAATTGCAAACAACTGTAACCAGGGACACGCAAATCCCACCGACTACTTAATTATTTTAATTTCTAACATCTAGATGACTTTGATAGTTGTCACAGTTAATTTCGAGTAAAAATAGCGTATGAATTGTACTATTTATAGTTGAAAATTGCTACTTTTCTTGCAAGAAAAGTCATGCTTCTCCGCCTCATAAAGTAATATACTATTTGTTAGGCCAAATCATTTTCCTCTATGTAAATCTATTTCGGACATTCCTATACAGGTACAATTTCCAACACTCCGAATTGGCTACGGAAGAATTATGAACAAACAACCAAAATTAAATCATAGTTGTACTGAAATTAGACGTAACTGTTTCGTTATATTTTTCTGAAGTTATTTTCTTGTGGCATCTTATATAAATTTACTATTTTAATTGGAAATAAGCCTGAATATTAGTTAGAAATTAAATTTATTTGACGTTGAACTGAAGTTGGACCGCTAGTTGGATAGTAAGTGGAGACGAATGAATACCCAACTAGTAGTCCTACTAAGTGGGACCGCAAGTTGGAACGTGAATGGCCTACATAAAAAGGTATACACACAAAATAATTAACGGGCATTAAGATGCTTTAAAGATAAAAAAGTATGTTTCTGCATAGTTAGCAATGTAGTGCCATGGCTCTATGGCACTAACTCACGGACCGTCACTGATTTAGAATCCACGTTTCAGCTCTATATTCGCTCCGTGCGTGAACATGGTAGGGGTATATTGAAACGATGCCAGCGTGCGTAGCGGCGAAATATGACAAAATTGGAATATTGGACAAAATATTTTTACGCATAAATTTTATCAAAAATGTGTGCAAATACATGTTGCGTATAATTGTGCTAATAATAGCAAAAACAGTGAGTGTAGTTTTTATAGGTTCCCAAAGATTACATATAAATTAGAGAAAAGAAAAATATGAATTCATGCTATTAATATGAAAAGTAAATATCACAGAATTTCATTTTTATGCAATTTAAATAGGAAAAATTTAAATAATTTAACTTGAATGGTATTTCATAGGGCTTCAAGCTAACTGAAGATGACTTTAGTTTTTATATCATAACTTTTACTATTATTGTTTTTAATTATGTGCTTTTTTGCGTGAAAAACTTGATTTGTCAGTACTCACTACTAGATTTTTCCCTTTCTTTTCCGTTTGGAGTTGAAAAGATATATTATGATGAACTTTGAGAAACCCAGTTTTTAATACTACATTGATTTTGTACATAAACTGAAAAAATATAGTTAAAAAACTAATTTATTAATAATTGTCAATATCGCATGAATTTAACAATGTCAAACATATGTCATATGCTTAACCTGAAAATTGGGAGGTCCAAAATTGTGAGATGAAGGCGGTAGGTGTCGCGTCAGTCACGCACGGAGCGAATAGAATAACAGACCAAACAAGTGTCAATTTTAGTTTTATATCGATATGTTGATTTAATAATATTTAAATATAAATTCTAAGCCGTAAATCTGAACACTGACAAGACTAATAAAAGTGTAAATAGTGTGTTTATGCTTCAAAGTTTTGTAGTTGCGAAGATTAATTTTAATTTTAATATGCTGATACATATATTATTTTTTCTCGTTATAATTTTTGTTTTTTCTTATGATCTAATTTCTGAAATATTATACGTATTAGTTCAAATTTTATTATAAGAGCATCCATAAATCATAATCATAATGTTATTATTACGTTACCTCAAGTATAAAATTGTCTTTTTATGTAACGTACGCCAAGATAATTAAACCTAATAATGCATTATAAATTATAATCACACTTTCTAATATTTAATATGCAACTTATTTTAAGTTGTATTGATTTCCTGGGAAAAATATAACAATATTTACAGTAGTTAATGATTATTTTCGAGAAAGATCCTATAAGTCAAGCAAGAAAATATCGCTATCTTTTTTATTTTTAACAAAGTGAAAGTAAAAGAAAAGTGTTTTCTTCAATATTTTGAAAAATACGGCCATTTTTTTTGGGGTTAATGCTTAATGCTTTCTGCATTATTATGTATTATTAAGAAAAAATAAAATTCCAAAGATCTATACAAAAGAAAAATCATTTATTGAAAAAATCTATTAAACATCTTCAAGCTCAAAATAAAGACTAGCTATGTTATACCCATCCATATGTTCCTCAATGTTGTCATCTTGTATTTTTTTGCAGAAATCTTGGCAGTCTGATGGGATAAGGTGCATCATCTCGTTCAAATTTGCAAGTTTTTTTTGCAGCAATCATCTTACCATTTTGCCATAGTATACTCATTAAAAAAAGATCTTCTATTTTACTTATTGTGCTGTTCTTTCCTTCCTTCTTTTTAATATTAATCTTATGTACAGGTGCGTCAAACGAATCGTGCTGAACAGTCAGCAAGAATGGTTCATCTTTTTTTAACATAATCGATCTTATTTTTAGCCATTTTATTTTTTGTCCGTCGATGCTTGTTTTTCTGTCGACAATTTTTTTTTCAATCATATTGACACTCAAAAAATCACAGTTGTTCATTTCCGTTACCACAAAAGGTTTTTTTAATAAGGTAAGGCATTCGTATTTTTCATTTTCCTTAGCCAACTGAAAGTCATGTCTTCTTAAAATATTGAGCATTTTCTGCGTCTTTCAGGTCATTGGTATAATTATTTTGGAAGGTTTCTTTTTTTTTCGGGTCGATTTCGTTATCAATTTGTATCTTCAACTTAGCACACGTATTACAGGTATCTTTTTTGAGTGTCTTGAATTTCAAATTAAATCGGTGATAAAATATTTTTTATAGGATGGCACGCTTACAGGTTTTTCTGTTTCTTGGCTATACAGCTCATACATTTTCTGTATTGTTCATTTCCGGGGGCGAACATTCGGCGCTTGTTTGTTCCCTACGTTAGTGAGATTTATATTTTGGAATTTTCTTAATTTGTTCAATTACCTCCTGAATTTTGGCTTCTGGAAGTTTATTTTGCCCTCCTTATGTAATACCTCTTTGGTCAGTTAAAGAAATTTCACCTCTAAATTTCTTTAGGGCGGTATCAACTCTAAATGTTGTGATATAAAAAACATAAACATGATATATGAACGTTTTAATATACATTTCACGGCATACCACTTTGTCTTGTATTTTATAGATCCTTGAAAATTTTCTTTTTTCTGGATTTCTACCATAAAGTCGTTTTTTCTGAAGCTGCTGTACTCCCGCTGCGATAAAATTCACCTGGTAATCATATGAGCCCAATGACCAAAATCTTTCAAACTCTAACTTTCGTATCTCGACAGGTACATGTTCGGCACATTTTAAAGTGCAAGTACAATCGTAATTTAAATTTTTTTTGGTTTAATTTCTCTTCCTTTATGGTTATAATATTGTTCATTGCTATGTCTGTTCTTTTTCATTTCTGTCCTGTTTTGATTGTCGAATTTCAGTTTTCTTCCTTTTTTTTGGCCTTCCCTCGTAAACTTTATTTTCTAAGGTGGTTTTGTTAAATCGCTGTCAGCAACGACATGATCTTGTTCTGAAAATGTTGGTTCATAATCTGAACTAGAAGAATAATCACTTACAGCTTCGTAATTGGGGTCGCGAAGAGAGTCATCGTTTTCCTCCGAACCACATGGATGGTTTTTTCCCAAATGAACATCTAAAATAAAAAATAAAACATCAATCATCAATCACACAAAAGAAACATGTAATTTTCTTACCATCAATCTTTTGAGTCAATACTTTCTCTTCCTCCCTGATAAAAGGCTTGTTAACAGATCCACACTCCTTGATAAATTGGGCGTTTTTTGTTATAGTTACTTCCTTATTAGTACATGGAATTTGATTATTTGTAATAGTATCAGCTACATTTTCATTTGTTTGAGAGGAGTCTAGTACTTTTTTCAGTCCCTATTTCATTAAAACAACCAAAAATATATTACTAATTTTATTTAAAAAATATTGCTAAAATCTTACCTCGCTCTTGTTTTTTTTGTTGAAGCAGATTAAAAATCTGCCTAGTACTGGAACTTCTTCTTCTTCAAGTGCCTCTCCGCTACGGAGTTTGGTAATCATCATTGCTATTCGTATCTTTGAAGCTGTTGCTTGAAATAATTGGTTAGATGTGCACTGAAACCAGTCTCTTAAATTGCGCAGCCAAGATATTTTATACGTCTTCTCCCTACGCTTCGTTTGCCCTGAATCTTTCCTTGCATAATTAACTGGAGCAATCGGTACTTTTTCGTTCTCATCACATGACCAAGATATTCCAGCTTTCTTCTCTTGATGGTGATCAACAGCTCCCGTTCTTTGTTCATTCTTCGAAGAACTACACTATTTGTTATTTTGTACGGGAACTAAACATATGTATTGCAAAATAAAACACTTTAGATCTATAAATATCATTAAAAGACTTAAAATTTTGCTAATATCACGAGCCAAAATACATCAAACAACAATATTTTGAGGTTATGTGAAGATTCCATAATTCAGAAAACTACAAACCAACGCAGTGGCGTCAACAATTTCAGATTTTTATTTACGCAGAAGGCAACCAACCCACTTGATCGCATTATATCACGATTGATACCAGCCAAGTGCATTGGTATTTTTCTGCAAAAACCGAAATTTTACAAGGTTAAGAAAATGTGTTGGTTAATACAATGACAGTTATTAATTTTAATTGGTAGGTTTCTGCAGTTTAAAATATTTGACATATAGATAAATTTTATGTGCTTGGTACGAATTAAGTAACTACGTCCTAAGCTGTCTGCGTAACTACGTCCTATTGGTCTGAAATGTGGTTGTATAAATATGAACTACTATGTTTATATATTACACTCATTTTTTACGAAAACTTCTACAAAATTTATTTCATTGCAATTATTTTTATTGCAGTTACCTCTTAATATATGGACCTTAAGTGAAGCTGAAAGAAAAGCAAGGTTAGAAGACCGTAAACCTAAGAAAAAAGTCAAGATTGTGGAGGATATTGATGATTCCTATGATTCCAAGAAATATCTAAAATATATAAAAAGGAAATAGGGCTATAAAGTTAATAGTTTTATTAGAGATGTAAATTATTATTGTATAACATCACTTGTAATATAAATGACAATTGCTTAATTATGTTTTTTAATTACTTCTCAGTAAAACTGCAAATCAACGAGAGCATTAGATAATTTTGATAAAATGACATTGGTCAACAAATTGTCAGAACAAGGAATACGAAAGAATAGGGAACAAAGCAAATTCATTAAATAAAACGAATAAAAATAACTGGTTCAATGAAAAGCTAAAGCAGAGGTCGGTAAGTAATTTTATATGGGTCCGGATACTAGAAAAAAATTTGAACAAGGTCCAGAAAACAAAACAACTGTTAACATTTAATGACAAGATATTTATTATTTAGGTACATTCTTAATGATAAAACAAAAGACCTTAAATTAATGTGAAAAATTGCACCGACGTTCTTGAGCTAGTTGTTTGTGGTCTGTTTCTCGAGTCTAACAAGTGTGTAGCAGAAAATTAAAATATGTAAGCCAGTCACGAGAAAAAAAGAGGTTGTCAAAAGAGCACTAGATGTATCTTCTTCTTCGTCTGAAGATAAAGACGAGCTCGAACTTAAAGACCTCAGATGGAAGCAGATTTTATTCAAGTTCCGAAGATGAAGACGTTCCTGATTTCTTTTCGCCAGATCAAAGTTGCACTCAATTTTACCATTGTCAGCTGGGTTGTAGTAAAATTTGAAGTCACTGGAAAAGCTACATTCACTGATGTTTACTATGCTTCTTTGGTTCAAGAAAACATAAACCAATAAGTTACTATAAAGTTTATTAATAGCGTAATTATAATAACGAAATGTTTATTTTGTCTTCCCAGATGTTGAAGATATTGCCGTCGTGAAGCATTCAAGCATAGTGAAAGGTTGCTTGTGCCCAAAATACGACGCAGTTTTCATTCTTTCAACATTGCCTTTCCACAAAATATTTCTATTAAATAGTATAAAAACACAAAAAATAGTTTTAGTTTTTTTTTTCTTCATTAAAAAAGGTATTTCAATATTTGTTTTATTTATATAAATAGAGTTACTTCATGTCCCAATGTACAATCAACATTGTCCCAAGGGTAAACCGCAGATTGAACCTTGGGACTAATATCGCTGTACACTTATATGGTAAGTACTGATTTACTCGTTGGTTATTATCGATATTTTTGTTATCAGTTAAGTGCCTAAATCTACCTTCTTTTACCTGGATCAAATACATTTCAGTTTCATATGAAAGGAAAAAACATAAAGAATTAAAAGCAAATTTTGTCCCAAGGTACACGCCTTTCCCGTACAATAATATTTACAGTGTGTTGATGTAATAGGTAACAGTAAAATTATTTAAAGAATGAAACATTATTTAGCTCAAATAATATTGTTGCAAAATTTTTCATATGTTTTTCGTTTCTCATATTTCATTTTCGTCACCTTCAGAATCTGAACTGTTATCTCCAATGTTAATTATTAAGAGAACAGGCAGGCTTCAGGGCACGATATGGCACAAATGACATTAGCATACCATAAAGGTCTTAATAGAAAAGTGCATCGAGTACAACATACCACTGGTTCTTGCATTTGTCGATTACGAGAAGGCTTTTGATTCTGTAGAGTTTAAAACAGTACTGGAAGCCCTAAATCAAAGCCGAATAGATAACAGGTCTATATATCTATCTATACAACCCTTGCTGTCCAATTTTGGACATAGGACTCCTCTTCCTTCTTCCATGTTTCTCTATTGTAGGCAGTTTGTATCCACTTCGGGCTTGCGTGTTTCTTCAAGTCATCTGACCATCTCATTTGTGGCCTTCCTCTCTTTCGTTTGTAACTATATGGTCTCCAGTATATAATTATCTTATTCCATCTGTCGTCTTTCTGTCCTATGGTATGTCCAGCGAACTTCCACTTAAGTTTTGCTATCTGCGTTGATACATCAGTCTCTTTTGTTTTGTTGTGGATCTAAGTATTTCTTTTATTGTCTGATAGCCGAATGTTCAGCATTTGCCTTTCCATGGCTCTTTGGGTCTTTGCTATTTTTTTCCCTCTTCAGAAAACATGTCGAATTATGAAACAAACGGAATAGGACCCCAGCTGGGTGAGTTACTAACTCGGAATCCTACACCGGGAAACCGGTTCGTTTCAAGGATTCTGGGGGAGGCAAATATTCGTCAAAATTAAATGTAGAAACCTATAACATCAGATCCATGAACGAAGACACTAAAATCCACAAACTAGAGGCAGAACTGACTAAAACACAGTGAGATATCGGCATATCCGAAGTAAGAAGAAAAGATTACAGGTACACGAAACTATTCAAAAACATCTACGAGAACGCTACATCAAGTATACAACTACACGAAGACACAGAAAAATTCAGCTTAGGTCGAGAAGTTAGACAAGGAGACAATATTTCACCAAAATTGTTCACGGCAGCTCTAGAGTAAATATTTAAAAACACTCAATGGCAAGATATGCAAGAGTGCATCAATATAGATGGAGAAAGATTAAATCATCTAAGGTTTGAAGATGATGTTGTATTAATCGCAGATAACTTACAGGATACATTATATGATACATTCGCTTAAAAGTCTGTCTGAAAGAGCAGGATTAAAGATAAACTTTGAGAAAACTAAACTTATGACAAATTAGTAATGAGTAGAAATAAAACTATTGACAATAATACCATACAACAAACAGACACTTACAAATATCTGGGACATGAGATCAAAATAAGCAAAGACAATCAAACACATGAAATACAGAGGAGAATAGGCCTGACATGACAGCATTTGGCAAATTAAGCCATATTCTAAAAATGCAATTCCCATGTGTCTCAAGCGAAAGGTTTATAACCAATGTGTTTTGCCTCTACAAGCTTATGGAGTAGAGACTTTAACACTCACGCAAAAAACTGCGAATAAAATCATAGTTACACAACGAGCTATGGAACGTGCAATGCTGAACGTGAGCCTTCGAGACCACATAAAAAAGCAACAAATCAGGAGTTCAAGACGTCATCGAAATAACCGCGACGCTTAAGTGGAACTTAACCACCAGAACAAAAGATTGACAGTGGACAAGACGTATGATCGAACGGATGCCCAGAAACTATAAAAGAAACCGAGGACGACCACCGACTAGATGGACCGATGATATACAACGTGTAGCGGGAAACTGGCTACAAGCGGCCCAGTGTAGAGAACATCGGAAAGACCTGAGGGTGGCCTATGTCCAGCAGTGAACGCGATTGGCTGATTGATGATGATGTTCTACACACTTTGTCCAGGCGACATCGTTACACTTTTGAATGCTTCCTTCCACATGCTTAAAATATGTTACCACATAATTAAAAAAAATCTTATTTAACTTTTTGGCTTCCAGATGGATAACTTTTTCATAGTACTCAAGACAAGTCTTTATTTTCTCGAGTTTTTGATCCGAATGACATTATCATTTATTTATTTAATATAAATTAAACTCTAGCCTTTCTTTTTGAAATTTGTGTATATAATAATTTATTAAATCATTAATCTTCTCGTTGTCCCTGTACATTTTATCGCCATTATTGCGCTCCTGTTTACGTTAAACATAATTTATATAAAATGTGCATTGTTTCTCTACTTTATGCTGTCTAATTTCCATAATGAAAGTAGCTGATTTGAATTATCTCACTTTTAAGAAAGGTATGCGAATGTATAATTAATTATTTTTTATGATTTAACAAAATGCTCTAGATCCAATTACTTAATATACAGGCAGAAGGTTCTATTGTTTTTAGTTCACACAGAGGAAAGTGAAAATTTTTAGTAAAAATATCCCTAAAAATAGTAACTTCTTTAAAACCTCCATATTCTTCAACAATATGATCGATTTTGTTTTCAGGGGGAGACTTGATAGTTATGGGAGTGATTAGAACTTGCCAGCATTGAGAATAATAGGAGATATTAATAGGGAAAGTCCAAGGAAATGAATAGATTAAAGACTACATTCATATATGATCAGGAGTAGAGAAACACGTACACGCTAAAATCAGGGTTCTCAATTCTTATTTAAAAATCGTTAAAAAAATATAAAATATTATGCGTACATCTCTGAAAGAATTCTGACAATAACTGTCACATAGTACGGCATCGAAACAATGATTGTTGGAGTCTATGCGCCAACAGACGATTCAAATCAACAAGTTAGAGATTCCTTTTATGAAGAGTTATGAAACAATTGTGATAAAAGAAAAAGTCATCAAGAAATAATACTATTAGGAGACCTAAATGCCAGAGTAGGTTCTTAAATAGACGATAACGTGGTGGTACGGCACGGAGAAATACTTAAAAATGGTTCAATGGACAGCTTAATTGAGTTGTGTCAACTTTTTGCTTATATAATATATAAATAATGAATACCCAATTCCAACATAAAGATATTCAAAAATACACTTGGGAACGACCTTCACTTCAACAGAAGTCGATCATAGACTATATAATAATAAGACAGAAATCATAATTTAAATACCAAGACTGAAGAATAAAAAAGAGGATCTAACTTTTATTCCAACCAAGTATTAAACATCTTTTTCAATCTAGATTAGAAAAGGAACCAATTTGGGATGGAAAGAAATATGGATGTAGAACAAGAATACAACAACCTCAAAATGATAATATAAAAAATGTTTATGGAGTATTAGGAACAGAGAACAACGACAAAAAAACACCACGAACCACCATGGATGACAGAAAACGTAAAAGAAATGATACAAGAAAAAACAAAATATATAACAAATAAAACATCTAGCAATAGAGTAACATAAAAAAGGAGAAGTATGTAATCAAATAAAAGAAGCAAAACACAATTTCTGGGAACAAAAATGTGTACATTTAATTGGTGGTTCTCAGACTACTGAAGCATGGAGAACTATCACTAATCTAAAGAAAAACACTTGTAACTCCTTAAGCAACTTAATTCCTATAGAAAAGTGGGGAAATCACTATAAAATTTACTTCCAGGGTCCAGATTGGAATATATGGGAGAGGAATACAGTATGGAGAGACAAACAAATAGTAACATTAATACTACTAATAACGAGGTTCATACTGCGTTAATTAAAATGAAAAACGGGCGATCTCCAGGACCTGGCAATATAGCTGTAGAGTTACTTAAAGCACGAGGTCCACTCTAATAGAACGAATAACTTTTCTAATGAATCAATGCTTACAAATTAAAGTACTATCTGAATGGAAAACCGCTCACCAAGTGTCCATTTTTAAAAAGGGAAATCGAAAAGGTCCCAACCGCTACAGAGGATTAAGTGTCCTACCTACTTTCGGGAGATTATTTGGAAAGATAATAAATGGAAAAATACAAGATAATGTAGGACATCTAATTAGCGAATACCAAAGTGAATTTACGCCTTGTAGATCTTGCACTGAGCAACAATTAATAGAAAAAAGAATAGCGGTTGGTACCGAAGTACATCTAGCCTTCATTCCATCGACCTAAAAAAGGCGTATGATACAGTTCCAAGACTTAAATTGTGGCAAGCTTTATAACAACTCGGCATTAATCCATACCTTTTAGGAATAATCACAGAAGTATAACAGGGATAACACTACTTACCTAAAAATCGGAAATAGACTATCAGAGCCAATAAAAGTAACTAAGTGGCTAAGACATTCATGCGGAAATGACTCCATGCAGGGTAATTGCATGCGGATGGGCTCCTTACTCTGCACCCTTTAGTCATTCAAGATGTCTCTTGTAAGATTTCCACCTCATAAAAAAGTTTCTGGAAAGGAGAAATGGATAGGTAGACAAGAGATGTCAATGAAGAATACCAATATTTATGACCCAAGATATAAATGTATGGAGAAATGTAATTAGGGAAGCACATCGAGCAAAAAGACAAAAGAGGGAATCTAATCGTCATGAAAAGGAGACCAAAAAGTGGCCTCTGATGGCGGACATATCCGGAAATGCGAATGCGCCAAATTTAAATTTTCCGACACTTATTAACAATAGCTATAAAATAGTTTTCAGAATGGGTCTTAGACGAGAAACTTTAAATAAATATTAACGATAACAGTCTAAAGTGTGACACAATTCTTAAAAAACTTTAATATAAATAAGATTTCATGTGACAGTTGAGACAAACAATTACATAACCCAACTAAATTTGATTTCTTAAACAAAGAAAGACTCTCTTTCCTTATTTAATGCGACCTCTCAAGATGGCACCCCATCTGCTATTGTACCCCATTTGTTATTACGTTTTATCCGTGACCTAATCTAGTTTGTCTTAAAAGCAATGTCTTGATGGGTCCTTAGACGAGAAACGAGTGTCCATGTTTTATTTCTATCCTATCCTTAATAATAATTTTAATGCTTAAAATTTGTAATGCTACTTACGTTTGAAATTTATATTATCTTTTTATATTGTACTACACAATCTTCTTGCTGGGTAGAATATTTTCATGTTGTGACTAGCTGTATGGCACCTGCCTATGCCATTAAAAAAAACCTTTACATTCCCTCTTTTGTCTTTTTGAAGGATAATGACAATATGTATACGAATATAGAATGACCTTGACCTATTTCATTACTAGAAAAGTTACTATAATCAGGTAGAAGTCATAAAAAGCTATAAATCAAGATGAGGAGATACCCATAGGTTATAGACTTCTACCACACCATAGAAACAAGTAGGGGAGAATGGGGCTCCTTCAGACAGGGGGCAGCTTCAGACATTGATATTGTGGGTAAATTTAAGGACTCGGGTTGGCAACACTGACATCAAAACATTCCGTTAGCATTTATTGCTGTTTAACCTGTACTATTCACATTTGTTACTGATGGCACTCTTAGGTTATATTTTTACATTTAGTCTGGACACATCGAGTGGGGTACCTTCAGATAAAAGGATATGGGGCACTATCAGAAAAACGCCTCTCTCCAAATTTTCCCCAAAGCTTCCAGCAACCAATAGACACTCTATCATCATCAAGCTGCCAAAACTCTACGCCTATGCCCTCTCAACGGCCTGGCTGTTATTTAAGTCCTGAGGAGATACGAGGATATCCAAAATCGAAACTCAATACTAGCTCCAAGAAAGCAAGAGAAAAGGAGAAAAGCAGAATAATAACTGACATTCCAGAAAAGCTTATTCTGGCAGAAAAATAGATCAATAAAAAACAAAGAAAACCACCAACTCTAATGCTGAACGTACTAAATCTACGAAAAGAAAAAGACTTTTTGAAAATGAGAAGAATTAGAAGACAACTGGTGATGAAAATGACAAAAACTCTGATGATAAAGCATTAGAAGGACCACAGCAAAATTTTGACAGGAGTAAATTGAAAATTGAAGATTTTGTGCTGGTTAAATTTGTTACTGTAAAACAAAAAGATGTACACTATGTTGGGAGAATCATTGGTAAATGTGACGATGAGGATGTTGAAATTGTATTTTTGAGAATGCCATCTAAAGTAAATTATACATTTTCAGCCCCATCGTACCAGATACCTCTAGTGCTTCTTTATCAGAAATTGTATCCCTTTGGCAACTCCTTCTGAGCAGGGTAAAAAGCAACAGAAATCATTATTGTCTTTTTCAGTTTCATTGGGAAACTTCAGTTGGATAACTGAAGATTTAGATCCAGACATAGAGATACGTAGCAGGATTGAGCAAGCCAGAACAGCATTTACTAATATGAGAACCTTGCTAAGCAACAGCAGCCCTAACTTAACGCTTCGATATCGCTTTGTAAAATGTTACATTTACTGCTATATGGTGTAGAAACCTGGACCATAAAGGCTAATGTGATGAATCGTTTGGAAGCCTTTGAAATGTGGGTATTTAGAAGACTACTTAAAATTCTCTGGACAGATCCCACAACAAATGTTGAAGTATTAAATCGAATGGGCACAGAACGAGAATTGCTGCCAATAATAAAAAAAGAAAAACTGCTTATCTGGCTCATATATTTCGAAATTCCAAGTACCAATTCTTAAAGCTTATTATGGAAGGGATGATAGAAGGAAAACGGGGCATCAGAAGAAATAAATACTCATGGCTTAAAAACATATAAGGGATTGGACAAACCTCGATGCCCATGCACTCTTTAGAGCCACAAAAGATCGAGAGGAGTATGCCAGAATTGTCGCCAACATCCACTAATTGGATAGGGCACTATAAGAAGAAGGAAAACTTCAATATTCATTAGGTAGGGGTTTGATTAAGTATCATAATATAGTTTTAAATATTGTAATAAATAATTTTTAAAACATTTATATCAGGTTGTCATTTTTCCAATTGTGTCTGAAGTTGCCCCATTCCCCGTCTGAAGGTGCTCCCAAGTGGGGTCTGAAGGAGCCTCACTCTCCCCTACATAATAAATTATTGTATTGTAAAAAAGACCCATAGTCTTGTATTTTGCTTTTATATTTCATTACCATTTTAAAAAAAAAGTTATATTAACTATTTTTTAGCAGTATGTTATTCTATAAAAAATTTTTATCGTAATTTCAAATAAACCGGTATACTGCATTTTGATTTGCGCAAACTCTCTAGTAAAACTAAGCTACGAGGTACGGTTAGATATCTACCTTCGTTAGTAGTTTCGAATTTACAATTTTGACGTAGACAGAGCGCTAGTCGTAGCAATGAAGCAGATGACGGCGACCGAATGGAGAGTGTAGAAAGCTTTTTGTCACAAACTTTTTATTTACCTTCGAGACATCATCGTATGAAAAAAGGTGTTTTTGTTGGTGCATTTTTTTATTTTCTGAAGTGATCTTTTAAAAATTCAATATGTTGATGTGTTTTAAGGAAGACAATGTGATCCTCGTTTGTTTGTTAGTGTCGTGAGAAATGTCAAAAGGGAGCAGTGAAAAAATAATAAAGGTAAATGTGCACTTAAATGCACATTCACCCTAATAAAAATTGCTGTGAAACAATAATAGATATATAAGAGACTTTTTCGAATGTAAATTTACTCAGAATGTGTTTTAAAAAGACTAACCGAGTACAGTGTTCCACACAAATATGTACGAAATTGGCTAATACTACATAATTCGACTTCTCAGTATTATACTATGTACCCTTCAACTGTAAATAAAAATGAAACGGTTAATAAATCTAAAATATCCTGTATATATGACAGTCCCTGCGACCCGAAGGACAGTGACTATGAAAAGTTGTTTTGCCCTAATAACGAACTTTCGGAGCCCCCCAAAACTCGGTGTGATAGACTAAAGACAGGTTCTTCCTGTCAAGCTCTTAAACATGCGGTGGCAGCTTTACACCCTTTGGACGATTTCCACAAGGAGAAAATTGGTGAAGGTTTCTTTTCTGAGGTGTTCAAGGTAAATATAAACATCATTACTTTAACCTTAGAATTTTACACTGTAAATTTTTATTGCTCAATTTTTTCAATATCATATTTTCTGCCAATGCTACTATTGAATGTTTTTAATATTATAAATAATTACTGATATCAACAATTTCCCAGTATTTGTCAATGTGACTATCTCATAAGTAGGATTGTGATATTCCAATTATATAGCTAATGTTAAAATTGTCACATTTTTTTGTGATCTTCATGTCATTGCTTTTGGTAAAACTGTTTTAACAAAAAGTATAATATGAATGATATGTAAGTATATGGCACAAAGTTATTTTGCCCTCTTTAATGGGTTTGTTCAAAACCAACACAGTTCAAACCTGAAAGTTGATTTTTCTAATCATAAGAAACTATTCACTCTCTTATGAAGTATTTTATCTTGTTTATATTCATGATTTTCACATTCACATTTTTCTTTTTATTTTTTACTTTAAAATACTATATTTCTTTTATAGAACTATATAGTTTATACATTCACTTCATTAGGATTCTTTAAATACAAAATGTCATGGTTTACTATGAGCATTTTTAGAGAAAATCGAATAGAAAGGAAAAGCAAGAAGGTTGATCATATAAAAAGTATACAAATAAAACAGATGCTCAGAAATTGAATACAAACACCCAAAACAATTTTTTTATGCCTATGACAATGTAGTCTAATGTGTGCAATATTTTATAATTAATTTTTTCATTTAACTGCCCATTGAATTGCAAAAATGCATGCATATTTTTTAAATAAAGGCTGCTATTTAGTTTCAGTATCAATGTTATTACAAAAATGAGACAACAAATCCATAAAAGGCTTTAGTTAAGATATGTAACAGTGGAATTTTCACTCATATATTTGATCTTTATTTTGTCAGTAATAATTTTTAACAATATACTTTGGTTATTTTGGAAATACATTGTTTATAAGAGTACTAATAATAGAAATGAAAATATTGTTAGTCTGATATTCCATAGTTTTAATCCTGAGGTGTATTGTCTAAAACCTTCACCCTACTGTATGCTCCATGTACTAAAATAATATGTGCAAATTTTCAAGGTTAGAACATATAGACTTTTTGTGAAAATAATATAAATGTAGGTCACCAAATGGTTGTTTTAACCTCGACCATACCATAATAAGTGTACTTAAGGTATTCCATCTACTATGAAATGAGTAATAATACTCCTTTAGCATAAAAACCTGAACAATAAAGTTGTATGAGAGGTAAACAAAAATCTGTAAATAGCTTGGCCAGAAACTGTAGTTTATTTTTGAAACAGGCAATCAACAAATAAGTGGCATGGCTTGGGGAAATTTTAAGGGGGTACTCTCCAGTAGTATATTTATCACAATTTCAAATTTAAAAAAGTTATGTTACTTAATATCATATTTGATTTATTTTTAGTTAGTAGTTAGTAGTTCTTATATGCAAACCATTTTGGACATTAACAACATAATTTTTGATTTTAATAATTTATTTATTTATTTAACCTTCTTTAAAACACAAAATAATTGTTATTGCATTAAAAGAGTGTTTACTACTCCTAAAAACTAATAACTATATTAAAAACTAAACCTAGATAGAATAAAATCAGTAAAAAACAGTATACATCTAAATTAAATTTTAAGACAACAACTTTTGCAGACTAGAAATTTGTTTCAAAAGCAACTTTTATTTGTTTCACAGAAGAATTTAAAAAGTTTATATCACAGTTAATTATCACATGGTTCCATTTGTCAACATATTATTTATGGGTGAAAAATATTAGTTGAGAACAGTCATTTGTTATTAATTCTTAGATGCATTTTTGGGACATTAAATTTAATAATATTTATAAAAAAGCAATCTTTATATTTAATGTGATTTACAACATAGTAAATAAAAAGGGCTGAATGAAAATTTCTTCTATTATCCAGTAGCTGAACTTTAAAACAAGTTAACATAGCATTACAGGAAATTGTGTATGGATAGATACCAAACTTTCTGACCTAAAGAAACCTCAAAAATCATTTTTGAACCTTTTCAATCAGATTTACATTGAATTCGGCTTGTGGTGCCCATATAATAGAGGCATACCCCAAATGAGGTCTTACCAGTGTATTGTATAATGATATTAGAGTTTCAAATCTTTTAAAAATCTGAATTACAAATTATGAAGCCAAGAATTCTGTATGCCTTTCCAATGATGATCAGATCATGTTCATTAAATCTCAAATTTTGCTGAAACATTACTCTAATATCTTTGCAAGTGTTCTTTCTTCTAAGTACAGTGCTAGAAATTTTGTATTGGTTCTCTGCATATTGTGTTTTTCAAGTGATAGTAAAAACATGACATTTAGAAGTGCTTAGAAGCATTTTGTTATTATCCAGCCATTGACTTACTGAGTACAGATCAAATCTCAAATAGAAGAAACATAATTGAGTGGCTGATTATTAATAGTATAGCTTTTTTCAATTCTATTTACGAGAAAAAACAACATTTTTTTAAGTACATTCAAGTGGATTTTGTTCAGATTGCACCAATTTTGTAGTCAGTCTATGTCATCTTGCAACAAGGCTTGATCTTTTAGGCTATCTAACTTTCCACAATTTCAAGTCATCTGCCAACATTAGACAATTGCTATTTAAGAAATAGGAAGTGATGTCATTAATGAAGTTATCAAAAAAAACTGGAATTTGTGTTATGAGGAAAGCATTTGATTATAAGTCATTTTCTTGCAGTTCATTAAACTCTTAGCACAAGCCTTTCTGTTGAGGCTCTATGATAATGTTTAGAGTATATTATTGGTAGATATGCTGGAATCATCGAGCAATAAGACAAAAGAGAGAATTAAAGGTAGTGGGGGCAAACATATTGATAGACAGGAAGTGCTATTTTGAGAGGCCACTTTAAACAAGGAAAGAGAATCTCTTTCCTTGTTTAAGAAAGAAATCAAAGTTAGTTGGGTTATGTTATTGTTGATGTTATTGTTTGTCAAAACTGTCACATGAAAGCTTATTTATATTTTCTATTGTAGTTTTTTAACAATTGTTTAACATTTTAGACTATTATCGTTATTAATTAATTAAAACTTTATTGTGTTCTAGTGTTAAAAAAAGTATTTTAATAACTAATTTTAATAAATAAATAGATAAATATATAATATAAAATATTATATAATATAAAATAAATAAATAGATAAATTAGAACCCCTACACCACTGTATGATTATTGTTAAGTGTCATGAAATTTAAATTTGGCGCATTTGCATTTCCGGATATGTCCGCCATCAGAGGCCACTTTTTTGGTCTCCTTTTCATAATGATTAGATTCCCTCTTTTGCCTTATTGCTTGATGGCTGGAATACACACAATGTGACAAATTTACACAATGTTGGGAGTCAAGCCCTTGGGTGGTACTTTTCTATGTGTGTGTTGATTCTTCTGTATTGAATAAGTTATTCATTAAGTATAAAATGATAACATTTTCTGCGTATTTGAAATAACATAATTAAATAATATTGCTAAGTACTTATGAACACTCCACATCTTCTTAATCCCAAAGTTCTATGCCTGGCCCTGCAGATTTCCAGTTATGAAAGGTTTTGATGACATTTTCAACTTCTCTAGTATTCAAGGGTGAAGAAAAACTCATTCGTAGAAAATGTGACCATAGGGGTTAAGAGTAGCTGGCGTTGAAAGTTGATTTTCCCAAAATATGCACATTACCTATATTAAAAAAAAAAAAAAAATATTTTCCATAAATATCTGATGTCTCCACCACTGGCGTAAGAAACGAAATAAATATCTCAAAAATTGTGTTTAGGAATCTAGGTAATTTGGTTTCAAATACAAACTACCTGCTAATGCGAAAAGTGTAATTGGATGAAATTTTGGGGCAAATAAACAGATAGCCAAAACTATTTTTGTACCATGTCACAGATAAATAAGTATTCTTGCTGTTTTATATACTGAGTTGGTTGCTAGGAAGCAGAAATATGCTATTTTCAATAGTTTTTAAATGAATGACATTTTTAGTACTACATTTTGATGCAGAAAACTATAAAACAATATTGTTCTGAAGCTATTTTCTTGTGGCATTGTAAATTAATTACTATTTATAACTGGGAATAAGCCACAATTAAAGATAAAAATATGTTTATTGACGTTTCAATTTCTAATTCGGAAATCGTTCTCAAAATACAAACAGTAAATTAAACAAATTTTGTTTTTTGTTACATAGTGAAAAAATTCTTCTAATAATTTAATTGTATCTGACTCATTTATATTGATAATTCAGACATACATTATGCATTTTAAAGTAGACAACTTTAAAATGATATTGCCAATATTGTTGAGTTGCGCTCCTGGAACGACTTTACTTATAAGATAGTTCATTCGATTACATGAAATCAACTTTAACTTGAGAATATCCGTCAGAAAAAATCATAGCATGTAATTCGTCTTTAAAAAGACAAACACATGACATGATGACAGTAAAATTCTCCTGTTAGTGATTCCATAGTAAATTATGAGGGAAAAACCAGGAAAAAAAACTCATAATACTATCTCGACATTGTAAGTATTTGTTCGTGAATTTAGTTTACCTTCAACAAACATCAAAATTCTGATTTTATATGTTACGTTATTTAAAAAACATAAATGATGTATCCTCTATATGTTACTGACTTACTAATACTGGTATTTTCTTATTAATAACTTCCTCTTTCAATATTGGTAACCAGATCCTACTACATTCTGCCGAGGAAATTGCGACACAATTGGCCTCATTTAGCATGATTAGAGCCGCTTCTTTGATTTTTCTTTTTTTACCATCCGTTTCTTTTAGGACTATATTTGAATTATTCCATTGATTCCATGGGATAATGAACATAGGGTTGATACAAATTCAAACTCGGAAAGTATATATATATATATATATATATATATATATATATACTAAAATTACTTTACGAGACTGCAGCTATATTTTTTTATTACTTTTTATTATCATTTAAGCATCTTATTATCTCGTCACTTGCAAAAAGTACAATGATGCCTTTATAATCATATTGTGATACGATTATTTGCATATCTGAGAGATTAAAAAAATGAAGGCCATGAATTTCATCAATCATAAATATGTACAAGGATGTTTAAAAAACTGTGTAGATGGTACAAATTTAAGATCGTTTATTTATAACTTATTGTTTACTAATTATAGATATAAGAACATTATAGAAATATCTCCAATAATAAAAAATACAAATAAGACGAGAAGTACTACTTATCAGAAAAACCTTAACACGTTTAATGCTGACCTATACTTGAGAAATTTATCTCATGCCTAGCTTATAAAATGATGTTATGTGGATAATTTATTTATTAATTGGTGCCATGATTTTAACCTTATCTTAAAAAAAGAAGATCACGGATCCGTGCCATAAGTTGCCATAATGAAAATTTATATAAAGGGCTCTGTGTGTCCATGTCTGTCCAGTCTGTTACATTCTGCAACCAGGAACATTTCCTTCTTCCTTTCCAAGCAACAATATTATTACATCGATTTTCTTAAATAATATAACTATAACATACTAAAAAATCACTAAAATCTGGTGGTTCTGTTCTCTCGTGATCTAACA